AAGAGTGTCCCACAAGAGTGTCCCACAAGAGTTTCCTACAAGAGTGTCCCGCAAGAGTGTCCCACCAGAGTGTCCCACCAGAGTGTCCTACAAGAGTGTCCCACAAGAGTGTCCCGTATGAGTGTCCCACAAGAGTGTCCCACACGAGTGTCCCACAAGAGTGTTCCGCAACAGTGTCCCACAAGAGTGTCTCACAAGAGTGTCCCTTAAGAGTGTCCCACAAGAGTGTCCTATAAGAGTGTCTCACAAGAGTGTCCTACAAGAGTGCCCCACAGTTTCCTACAAGAGTGTCCCGTAAGAGTGTCCCACAAGAGTGTCCCACAAGAGTGTCCCACAAGAGTGTCCTACAAGAGTATCCCACAAGAGTGTCCCACAAGAGTGTCACGTAAGAGTGTCCCACAAGAGTGTCCCGCAACAGTGTCCCACAAGAGTGTCTCACAAGAGTGTCCCTTAAGAGTGTCCCACAGCCGCAGTTGTGGATTTCTCTGTATTATGTGGACGGTTATCATTTTCAAGTGCTTCTTTTCGAGATTTTGGGACAATGCCATTGTTTCCTTCGTGATGTGGATCTGCCAGAACCTTTACGCCAGTGCTTGATTTGAATGCAAAACGAAGACCCTTCATGACGAAGACGGAGCTTGGTGGTGAAGTCCCCAGCACATGCTGCCTTGGTGGTGGAGTCCTCAGCGCATGATGTCCAACAGCGTACCGGAGTGTGAAAAAGATAATCTAACCGGCTGTGTCTCTTTCTATACACAGTGGATTGACATATGTGTTTGCATTCGGGTTCGTGGGCTCCATCTTGTTTTAAAAATATGTTTACGATAAAAAACCATCGGCCTCTCACCGGCCGCGCCCACTCGCGCCCCCCTCTCGTTGCGCCTCGTTTCGGGCGCTCCGCACGCCACCGGGCGCTCCGAGCACCCGACCAACGCGTTCGCGCTCGCGTGCGTTCGCGTGCGGCAGGTGATTGCGACACTAAGTGTGTTGGGTCCGGAGACCACAGAACCCTTGAGGGACCGGTTTGGACCAGGGTCGATCCGGATCCGGACTCACACTGGGTCGATGTTTTTGGTTCGGGTGGAGGGGGGGTGGAGGGGGGTGCGAAAGAAGGTGGAAGAAAGGTGAATGAGAATGAAGAGCTGAGTTTGGGTCAAGATCACACATATTTCAACAGTTTCACTGGATCCATTTTTGTCAGGATCGACTCCTTGGAGGGGTGTGAAAACACCCTGGAACTAGACCTGAGTCGATGTTTCTTCGACCATCAAAGAGGTCTGAGCCACTACAGGGGAACATGATGAAATGCTTTATCAATTTTTGAGAATGTATCTAGGCTGAAGTTTGCAGCATTCAGGGTGGTCAATATATGACTTAGATAGTTTTTTGCAAATAGAATTTTTGTCGGCAGCGGGCGCCCTGGTGGATATATATAGGCTGGGGGGCTGCTCATCGTTTCGCGGATGCTCAGCCCTTCTATAGGGTGCCATGCTTTTGGACCAACCCTGGGACTGGGCATGTTCGGCCAATCAGACGGTCGCTGGACGGCAGGTCGAAAAATACCGCAGGTCGACTTGCGGTATTTTGTTGATGTTTGTTTTTTGGTATTTCAGTGAGTCTTGTGAGATGTTCTCTTAAACATCTTAAACTATGTTTTTGGCGGGGGGCAGGACATGTCGACCAGGCAATCAGTATCATTATAAGGCAATCAGGGCCGCTATCGAATGAAGCAGGTGTTGTATATGTTGTTTTTTGGTATATTTTTGTTCGACCTACTTGAGGCTCCTCCACCTCCTCAACCTCACACATGTTTGTGCATGCCAAGTTCCCACCATCAGCTCCAGCTGCCTGGGATTCCGATCTGCAACCCTTGATGCTGCTCAGTCATTGCCGCTCCAAAAACCGCAGGATTTTTTCTTGACCCCAAACACACCACGCTCGCCACACTGCGGGAAGTGTTTCATTTTGCTGGCAACTCGCGTTATCTCGCAATGCCTGTGGTGAGTAAGATGACGCGCAGAACCTGCACGGCAGGCAGGGGATGCTTCGTTGGGGTCAATTTGTGATGCTTGAGGTGGTATCAAGACGTGTATCATCGTGTATCCAGGATGCCTATATTTCTATGGAATCCAGTGGAACAGGATGCCACCGTTTGACCCAGTAGAAAAGCACTACACCTGATGACATCACTCCGGAAATGAACTCGACAAAGAAGCAGCATTCCTGAACTGAGCTTGTTGGTTGGCTTTTGCTTGACGCATGCACTGTTCACTGTTCCCTGTTCCCCCGTGTTTCTATGTGGATTACGATTGCTGCCCTAATATCCCTACTATTGTTGACACTTGTCGGACCGGTTCCTTTATTTCGGGATAACATCAAGCCTTCCAAGTTTGGCCAAGTCAAGACCTTCCTTGACAACCTTTGTGCCAAGATCCCACAAGATGATCACCCTTTCGCTGCCTTCCAGCCGTGGTCAAGCCATGGCGGAATATGTTTTTTGCCACAACATGCTGTCCCTGTACCAGATATCATTAAATCATATTAGATCGAAGCATCACTTCAAGACTTACCCCGTTTGGGCTCCAACCATATCCTCAGAAGGTGGTTAGGCCCTCCAAACCCAGCCCAACCATCTTCTCACGAGGTAGGCCAGGAGCCATCAGGAGCCCTGGGGCACTGCATGCTTACCACAGGCGTTAACGGTCTACCAACCCTGATACCACTCTTTCGCCACATCTCGTCGCCAGGGGGTTCCCCCTATCGTGACGCCATTCTCGCGAACCAGACCGCGAACCGAAGCCATCCGCCTCTCCGAAAAAGCCATCCTGATCTGAAGGCAACCACCGGACCCATGCTCACTCCATGTCTGGCATAGCCGATCAATTGACGCCTTGCCAACCACCGTTGCCAACCACCCCAATGTGTATAGGTATATATGCCAGTTGCACCATGGAGTGTCTGAAGCAACCACCGCAGGTCTTCTTCTGGGCGGTGCTGCCTTCCTCGCTCCCCAGTCTCGCCACACCACGGCGGCACGGAGCTCTTCGTCCACGGCTTCATCGAAGACGGACGATACAGCGGGAGCTGTGGCAACGGTGGCCCCTTGGATTCAGTTTGGAGAAGGTCGTTCCGACCTCAATGATCCTGATGAGAGTTTGTCCAAAGAAAGATCAGATACAGTGAGAATGTAGAACATGTTTGTTCCACTTCAAGAAGAGTTAACATGATGTTTCTTGAATGGCAGAAATGGCCTAGACACGCAATCCAAGGTGGTGTTTGAAGGACTAGGGTACTGGTACCCAGTTGTTCAATCTCAAGATACCTACATCCTATACACCTTGATCTTTGTAACCCGTGTTGATCCAGCATACATCAGCATACCTTCTGCCACGAGCACCTAGTTCACCCTGAAGGATTTTCGTGTGTTCACCCTGCTGTTCATTAAGTTTTGTTGGAGATGAACACCAATAATCTATGGGAACAGGAACGACTATCCATCTATCCATCTATCCATCTATCTACCTATCTACCTATCTACCTACCTACCTACCTATCAATCTATCAATCAATCAATCTATCTATCTATCTATCTATCTATCTATATGTACTTACTTGTACTGATGGTCCACTCATGCCTTTGGGCTTTTTGTGATGTACTTGCTTTAGCTTCAGTTTGGCAGCCGCCTAGGTTGCTAGCACTGCGCTTGGCACTCTTGCGGCCGCCAGTTCCCGCGCGCAAACCGGGCGCCGGTGTGCTGGGCGCACTGCCCGGAAAGCTGCTGCGAGGGAGGGTGGACTGCGGCGACTGGCCAGTGTGGTGGAGGAGAAGAAACGAGTGAAGGTTGGTGACTCAGTCTCACAATCTCGTAGCCACTTGACTCGGGTTCTAGGCCGGAACTTGAGTTTTTTGATGAATAGATAAGTCAATAGAGAAGTCAATAGAAGTCATATGAATAATATTCATATTACTGCTAGACGAGGCAGTAAAATACATGTAGATTAGTAATCATATTTCATTAGCTACTTTGGTTGTTAAACTTATACAAATATAATTGAACATATAATCAATACAGATATATGTGCTATGTGCAGTATATACTACATACATGTAGATCAATATATTTTCTGCTACCAAAGCGAAGGTAGTGGAGAAGATCCTGGCAAGCAGGAAAGGGACGTCCATGCCATTCATCACCAACACAAGCTTCCCCAAGTTGGGCACCTCCTTGCCCGAGTTCAAGTTTGCAAGAGGCTTTTGGGCAGAATGCATGGTTGGAGCTTTTAGTTCAATGAATGAGGAAAATCAAGCCGGATGAAAAAATATATGTGCCGTCAGGCAGGTTGCCAGGATCTCAATTTATGCTTTATTGAAGATTCTTGAAGAGACCATAGTTATTTGGTCAATGTCCAAAATGCAACGACTAGGAATCGACATGATTTCAAACATGGCCTTCATGATGCATTGATTTTGCGCTGCGGACAGCAGCCACAGCGGTGGTGGTTTCGGAGTTGGCCAGAATTCCCGACAGTTTGAATTTGGCAAGTTATTCTGCATGAATTGAGAGCCGCACTCCAAGTTGCCACAGACCCCAACAGCCAGGGTGAGGGTGTCTCCAACGAGTCCTTTTGACTCTCGCTTCTTGCCTTGTATCAAAGGAATCGTTTTACTTGTCAGAGGCAAGAGCAATGAGTGAACTTTCGCGAACTGTGCGACGGACATCATCGACTATAGACGACCTCTACAAGTAGTTCCCGGGCAAGCCGGCGGCGGAAGTTTCCTATAAGAAGAAATTGACCTATAGGAGTGTCCACGTTCTCTCCAACATGCGCGTCCTCCAGTCAAACGCACGCGCTCCGGACTTTTGACCCACGGGATTCCACGTGTGTAAGGTGTGTGTGCCCCCTGCGAGAGATGACACACATCCGGCCACCACGACTTGCCAAGGATGCGGTCCACATCGACACACATCCCACCGTGGCATTCTTCAGTGGCGGCAAACCTTGCATATCACACATCGGACTGAATGGAATCCGAATTTGAATGTAAAATCTGTCTTGAACTCTGAGACTATGTATGATGAGTCTTGTATGATGAGGGGTGTATGACAAGTGATGAATGATGAGTGGTGTATGTTGAGTGGTGTATGATGAGTGGTGTATGATGAGTGGTGTCTTGACCAGCAGTTGAATGTCCTGTCCTGCATAACTGCAACCAAATACTATCAGTATGAACTGAACGTCCACGCCGCGAGAGATGACCCAGCAGCGAGAGATGACTCAGTCGCGAGAGATGACTCAGCCGCGAGAGATGGCTATAGCAAGAGCTGACTCAGCAGCGAGAGATGAATGAGCAGCGAGAGATGACTCCTCCGCGTACTACACTGTTCGCCAGTACAACTCTAGTTGTACTACGAAGTCGCCAGTCCTCAGCTTCTAGCTGCACAGATTGCTCCGCGTGCTGAAGTTGTACTACAAAGTCGCCAGTTCTCATCGTCCAGCTTGCCAGATACTCCGCGTGCTAAAGTTGTACTACAAAGTCGCCAGTTCTCAGCTTCCAGCTCTACAGATTGCTCCGCGTACTAAAGTTGTACTAGAAAGTCGCCAGTTCTCACCATCCAGCTCGGTAGTAAAGTTGTACTACAAAGTCGCCAGTTCTCCTCGTCCAGCTCGCCAGATACTCCGTGTACTAAAGTTGTACTACGAAGTCGCCAGTTCTCAGCTTCTAGCTGCACAGATTGCTCCGCGTACTGAAGTTGTACTACAAAGTCACCAGTTCTCATCGTCCAGCTCGCCAGATACTCCGCGTACTAAAGTTGTACTACAAAGTCGCCAGTTCTCAGCTTCCAGCTCCCCAGATGCTGTGCCTGCCACGAAATCTGCACATGGAGGTTCACACAAAGTGCTGTGCCTGCCACGAAATCTGCACATGGAGGTTCACAAAGTGCTGTGCCTGCCACGAAATCTGCACCTGGAGGTTCACATAGTGCTGCACCTGCCACGAAATCTGCACATGGAGGTTCACAAAGTGCTGCACCTGCGACGAAATCTGCACATGGAGGTTCACAAAGTGCTGCGCCTGCCACGAAATCTGCACATGGAGGTTCACAAAGTGCTGCACCTACGACGAAATCTGCACATGGAGGTGCACAAAGTGCTGTGCCTGCCACGAAATCTGCACATGGAGGTTCACGAAGTGCTGCACCTGCCACGACATCTGCACATGGAGGTTCACAAAGTGCTGCACCTGCCGCGAAATCTGCACATGGAGGTTCACAAAGTGCTGCACCTGCCACGAAATCTGCACATGGAGGTTCACAAAGTGCTGTGCCTGCCAGGAAATCTGCACATGGAGGTACACAAAGTGCTGCACCTGCCACGAAATCTGCACATGGAGGTTCACAAAGTGCTGCACCTGCCACGAAATCTGCACTTCAAGAAACAAGTGAAAACTCTAATCCCAATGGACGGACGATTCCGACCATGATCCGAGCATGACCCGAGACCGTCTCGCACCCGTCGTTCCGCAAACCTTGACTTGCCAGCTTCGGAGCCATCTGTTCCATTGAAAAATACAGCATTTCGTGCGTTCGCTATCTCTCCACAACGCATTTTGTATTGCGCCTGCCACGAAATCTGCACATGGAGGTGCACAAAGTGCTGTGCCTGCCACGAAATCTGCACATGGAGGTTCACAAAGTGCTGCACCTGCCACGAAATCTGCACATGGAGGTTCCCAAAGTGCTGTGCCTGCCAGGAAATCTGCACATGGAGGTTCACAAAGTGCTGTGCCTGCCACGAAATCTGCACATGGAGGTTCACAAAGTGCTGCACCTGCCACGAAATCTGCAC